GACATATTGCAAATACCACCGCCAGACATCCCACAGGACCGAGGATTGCACCACCCTGAAGAGGCACATCGACGGCCTCATTCGACAGGGGGAACTTTCCCAATTTGTCAAGGGTGCCCCCAAGAGTAACACTTGGGTTAACCCTGGCAAAAGGGGGGAAGGATCCTCCGAGAAAAAGAGGGAGATCGGCGCCCTCAGTGAAGATGAGGACGAAGAAGAGCCCCGCCAGAAGAAGCATCACATTCACATCATCGTCGGCGGGAACACAGGGGGGACTCGGCTACCCAACGGAAAAAATGGGCTCAGTCCCTATACGTTGGTGAGGTGACCCACGCCCCCCCTCAGCCGAAGCGGCGGCATGTGGAAGCCATCACTTTCACCGACAAGGACCTCCCCTTCGGCCCCTTGCCCCACAGGGACGCCCTCGTCGTCAAATGCGAGATAGGCAACAACATGATCCACCGCAACTACATCGACACTGGCAGCTCCGTCAATGTGATGTATGTTGATACATTCAGACAGCTGAAGTTGAAGAAAACCGAGATCCGGCCGATACGGACTCCGTTATCCGGCTTCACCGGGGACTCTATCGACGCCGAGGGCACGATAGTGCTTCCCGTTGTGGTCGGTGACGGTACCTGTCAGGCGAAGATTGACATGGAGTTCGTGGTTGTCAACCTGGACAGCGCCCACAACATGATCTGGGGACGACCGGCCTTGGAGGACCTTGAGGCCATCATCTCCATGAGACATCTATGCCTCAAGTTCCCCACCAAGGACGGCGTCGGCTACGCCAGAGGGAACCAGAAGATAGCCAGGGCTTGCTACCTGAAGCTCACAAGGAAGATCAATGAGGCCGAGGAGCGGATAGACACTATCACCACCGCCTCGGCCGAAGAAGACACACCAAAGGCCGAACCGGTCGGAGACGTGGAAGATGTTCCGTTGGACGTCTCCCGGCCGGAACGAATGCTGAAGATTGGGACACAGCTCCCCCAACAGATCCGAAGGGACATCCTCTCTGTCCTGAGAGCGTACGCCATCGTCTTCGCATGGGGACCGGAGGACATGCCAGGCATCAGCCCAAAAGTAATCACGCATCGGCTCTCAGTCGATCCGGCATCCTCCCCCATCAAGCAGAAGAAGCGTTACCTTTCAGCCGACAGGAGGGAATTTATCAAGGCCGAGGTGGCCATGCTGCTCTCCATCAAGCACATAAAAGAGGTGAAGTACCCCACGTGGTTGGCGAACGTCGTCCTCGCACCAAAGCCGCCCACGTTCAGAATGTGTGTTGATTACACTGACCTGAACAAGGCGTGCCCGATGGACCCATTCCCTCTCCCCAACATTGATCAGTTGGTGGACGAGACGGCAGGGTGCGAGTTGATGTCGTTCCTTGACGCGTTCAGGGGGTACCACCAGATATCCATGCACGAAGATGACGCGGAGAAGACTGCTTTTATGACCCCGGAGGGAATTTTTTGCTACCTCGTCATGGCCTTTGGGCTCAAGAACTCCGGCGCCACCTACATAAGGATGGTAGCCCGGATTTTTAGAGCAGTCTTAGGTCGGACGATGGAAGCATACGTCGACGATATGATCGTCAAGAGCAAACAATCCACAACCCATGCCGACGACCTCCGGGGCATCTTCGAGATCATGAAGAGATACAACCTCCGGCTCAACCCAAAGAAGTGCACCTTCGGCGTCCAGGGAGGTAAATTCCTGGGGTACCTGGTCAGTCGAAGGGGCATCGAGGTGAACCCGGAGAAAATACAAGCCATCATCAATATGGAGCCACCCCACAACATCAAAGAAGTACAACGGCTGACGGGACGCCTCGCGGCCCTGAACCGTTTCCTTTCAAAGTCCGCGGAGAAGTCGCTCCCCTTCTTCCAAATAATGAGAAAGGCCGCTAGCTTCAAATGGACGACGGAGTGCCAACAAGCCTTTGATGAACTGAAGCAATATCTCGCCTCCCCACCCGTCCTATCCAAGCCCCAACCCGGCGAGACTCTCTTCCTTTACCTAGGAGTGAGCACGTCGGCCGTCAGCTCCGTACTCATCAGGGAGGATGACGGGGTACAAAAAGCTATATTCTACGTCAGCAAGACGTTGCGGGAGGCCGAGCTTAGGTACTCCCCCATTGAGAAGACGGTGCTGGCCATCGTCCACACGGTGAAAAAACTTGGACACTACTTCCAGGCTCACCCCGTCCACGTCCTCACGCATCAGCCGTTGGGCGCCCTCATGAGGAGCCCAACCAGCTCTCCAAGGATGATCAAATGGGCGATATTCCTGAGCCAGTACCAGATTGAGATCAAGCCGAGGCCATCCATCAAAGGGCAAGCCTTAGCTGACTTCGTCACCGAGTGCACGGCAAGGGAGACGGCCGTTACCACCACAGGAGCTGAACCGGACAAAGCCTGGACCCTCTACACGGACGGGTCCTCGGCCACCAAAGCTTGTGGGGGTGGCGTCGTCCTCATCTCCCCGGAAGGTTTCAGAGCATACTATGCCATCCGCTTCAACTTCAAGGTGTCCAACAATGAGGCTGAATATGAAGCGCTCCTCAGCGGACTCAGACTAGCCGCTGGCCTTAAAGCACGCCACGTCAGAATCAAATGCGACTCCAAACTCGTAGTGAACCAGATGGAGGGTTCCTACGAGGCCAAAGAGGGGAGGATGAAGCAGTACAAGGAGGCCGCTGCGGAATTGCTCAAGGCATTCGATACCTACGAGATCACACAGATCCCAAGGGCGGAGAATGCCGAGGCCGACATACTCTCCAAACTCAGCTCCGACACCCCTGAGCACATCTCCAAGATAGCTAAGGTGGAGGAGTTGAGCATGTCAAGCATTCATGCTAGCCCTATACTCTCCATCCAACACCAGCCGGAGGATTGGATCACTGACATTGCAACCTACATCACCTCCGGCACACTACCCGAAGACGAGGAGAGAGCCAAACTCGCCAAACTTAGGGCGCCAAGCTACGTCATTGAGGGTGACAAGCTTTACAAAAGGTCATACAACGGCACCCTCCTCCGGTGCCTCCACCACAATGAAGCCGAAGTGGCCATGGAAGAAGTCCACTGCGGCGTATGCTCTTCACACCAGGGGCCCTTCAGCATGTCGCGCCGCCTCGTCGTCCAAGGCTACTTCTGGCCGACGATGGCGCGCGATTGTGCTGAAGTCGCCCGCAAATGCACCGCATGCCAACATTATCAAAGGGCACCTGGTCGACCGGCCGTCAACTACGCCCCGGTCAGCACTGCCATCCCATTTTCCAGATGGGGCATCGACCTCGTCGGCCCGCTACCAAGGGCTGCAGGCAACAACAGATACATCATCGTCGCCATCGACTACTTCACCAAATGGGTCGAGGCCGAACCGCTCGCAAGCATCACCGGAGCGCGGTGTCGAAAGTTCGTCTACAAGAACATCCTCACTCGCTTCGGCGTGCCTCAGGAGATCATATCAGACAACGGCACCCAATTTGAGGCCGAACCGTTCCAAAGCCTCCTCCAAGAATGGGGTATCAAGCACCGTTTCTCCTCCGTTGCCTACCCTCAGGCCAACGGGCAAGTTGAGAACGCCAACAGAACCATCTTGGAGGGGCTGAAGAAGAAACTCGAGGAAGAAGGCGAAAGTTGGGTCGACGAGCTCCCCAACGTCCTATGGTCTTACCGAACTACTCCAAGGAGGGCCACTGGGGAGACGCCATTCTCTTTGTGCTATGTCTTTGAAGCCAAGGCTCCCACTGAGGTGACGCTTCCCAGCCGACGGGTCACACAATACGATCCCGAGGCCAACGAAGAAACAATGAAGGTGGACCTACACCTCATCGACGAGAGACGAGAAATGGCCTACCTCAGAGCGGAGAACTACAGACGACAAGTCAAATCCTACTACGACGCCAAGGTCCGCTCTCGCGAATTCCAGGTGGGGGACTACGTCCTCCGCCGAAGGGAAGCAAGCAAGCCGACGGAAGGAGGAAAGCTCGCCGTCAAATATGAAGGGCCCTACATCATCAGCGCCGTCATAAAAGCCGGCACCTATAGACTAAAGAACCCTAATGGGTCAGATGTACCACGACTGTGGAATGTACACCATCTGGTGAAATTTTACCAATGACTCGAGAAGTGGTGAAGTGGGCAACGTCCCCCACCCCTCGGCTTATTGGTTGAATAAAACACCCTCGGCCTAGCGCCACTTATTGAATAAAATTCATGTTTCATCCAATCTCTTAAGATTTGAGCAAAGGGAGACCCAAGGACCACATCGGCCTAAGCGGTGCAAACACCCGGGACCGATGCGACCTAAAAAGCCGTCGCAATAAACGACGCACCTAAAAAGCCGTCGCAATAAACGACGCACCTAAAAGTCGTTGCAATAAACAACGCACCTAAAGCCGTCGCAATAAACGACGCACCCAAAGCCGTTGCAATAAACAACGCACCTAAGGCCGTTGCGATCCACAACGCGCCTACAAAGCCGTTGCATAGACAACACACCCAAATATCGTATCGGCACAAGCGGTGAAACACCCAAATCAGCCGGCGATATGTAGGACGAAGGACCTGTGTGCATGGTCCAACGTCTTCAAACGGAGAAGCATACCGCGTCGTCCGCGCGGAAACCGCAGGACGACAAGCCTGAATTAAGGCCGAGGTTACAAAAACTCCACCCGTCAGTAAAATTTCGCTCAGGACCACAAAGGGCGGCCGTCTAAAGACGATGCATAGTCCGGTCCCTCGTCGACGATAGACGAGGAAAGGCCAAAAAGATGCCACTGACACACCAAGCCGAGGGCGTATTTACTCCCTCACACTAATTCACGCGAAAAGCGTAGCGGACAAACTACCGCACATGGACGAAAGGACAGTAACCCTTCGGCCACACACACACTGTCACGCCCCGGACCTCCCCGGACACGTCAACAACCCGCCGTACAATACGAATAGTCAACCGCAGTCCAACACATTCATATTATACAAGGCGTCTTGAATATCATTCACACATATAACATCCATAAACAAACATAATAAGTAATTCATAACGCAGCGGAAAACATTGTTTAAAACAAAAGGGCCACACAGGGCTATTCATGAGCACGCAGGCTCTAAAGTAAAATATCCATGAGCATGTTTATTAATGTTCAAAACAGAATGGAGAAAGCACGAACCACGTCTTCTCTCCAAAGGATCACCCGAGCAACGGGCACAGGTAGCAAGCTCGAGCCTCAACCTGAAAAATGGTAGTGGGACGCCCCCGAAGGGGTCAGCACTCTATAGGGCTATAAAGTGCTGGTGTGGATGGCATCTAATAGATATACAACAAGTATTTCAATCACAAGACCCTCAAATAGGGTGGTAATACAATATAGTGGTAACCCTAAGTTACCCCGTTTTAAAAATATACTTACTTCAATAAAAGTCAAGTAGTCCGCCCGTGGGCCCATGTTCATTTAGAAAATCACCATTTCTCATTCCCCGTGACTATAAGCCACGACAATTCATAAGTTCATCACGTTACCATTGCATAGCAAGGGCTCGGCCCAACTACATTTCTATGCAATCCTTTATGTCAAGTACATCCTATCACATTTGCATAGCAAGGTCTCGGACCAACTACATTTCTATGCAAATCACAATCTACATGGCAAGGTCTCGGACCAACTACATTTCCATGCAAATCACAATTTCATCCTATCACATTTGCATAGCAAGGTCTCGGACCAACTACGTTTCTATGCAAATCACAATTTACATCCTATCACATTTGCATAGCAAGGTCTCGGACCAACTACATTTCTATGCAAATCACAATTTACATCCTATCACATTTGCATAGCAAGGTCTCGGACCAACTACGTTTCTATGCAAATCACAATTTACATCCTATCACATTTGCATAGCAAGGTCTCGGACCAACTACATTTCTATGCAAATCACAATTTACATCCTATCACATTTGCATAGCAAGGTCTCGGACCAACTACATTTCTATGCAAATCACAATTTACATGGCAAGGTCTCGGACCAACTACATTTCCATGCAAATCATAGAGTCCGGCTCTAATTCCTCATTATAGTCCAATTCCTAAGCAAACCTATGCCTAGAATTGGCATCTCAAATACTTCGTATCTACCTTGGTCATTCTTAATGACTGCCCATAACTTACCCTTAGCTTCATACTAAGTCATTTTATACACTTGAAGTACATTCAAGTGCATTTCATACAATCCAATACTTAGGATCAATTCTATCAACAACTTCAAATAATCACTAACTAGTATTTCAATACTATTAAGATTATTGTCATCATACAAATATCCTCATTTTGTAATTCTCCACATATTTATAAGTGTGTAGCCGCATCTTAAGTACTCAATTTCAATACATAAATATTCATTTATGTATCCACATAATTCATACATGAGTAAAATCCCCATTTCACAAAATAGTTCATTTATAACTCATTTAATCTCATATTATTCATACATCCTCAAATCATTTCCAATTTCATTCTTTGGGAACTATATCAATATTTAATCATAATAATCCATGAAAATTATGATTTAGGCATTTAGGTAATCTCATGCTTAACCTACAAGTTGTAAGCAATTAGATGTCGATCCTCACCTCAAATGAGCTTTAAAACTTTCCTTCTCGATCCAATGACCCAAGCTTCGGCCAAGGAAGATTGAGGACTGATTCCTTGCTTGGAATTGAGTGTTAAACAGCCTCTTCAAAGTGCTAGTTCAACTCCTAACTGAAGGCACAAAAACAGTCCCTAGAACGGGTGTTTCCCGACGAAATCGTTCCCTAACCTTTCAAGGTTTTGTCTAGATTAGTATCTAACTTTTACAACAATTAAAGTCACTTTATAATAACATTTTATACACTTCAATCAGTGTATAATAGTTCTTCAATCACTTATATGGTTTAGACAATAGAGAGGAAAGTTTTGGATTCAAACTTACTTTGAATACAAAAACGTATTCTGCGAGGTCGTGTTTTGCTCGGTCGATTTGGAAGTCTTCCACTACTCCGATTGATGCAAACCAGACCTTCACGGATTCCTCGTCTTGAGAGCTTTCTGTTGGTATCTCGCACGCCTTATTTGGATGAGTAAATCTCAAGTTATGGCTCAAACAGTCAGAGCTACGCACTGAAGAACGAACCTGCGGACTGCTCTCCTCCTTCTTTCTCTCTTGGGTTGTGTGGACTCCCTTGCTCTCTTATCTCTTTGGGGGTTCGAATGGGGTGTAGGGGGAGTGTATTAGGAGACCCTAAACATGCTAAAAGAGTATGTGGCTCACAAAAGAACATGGGAGGTATTTGGTTTGCAATCAAATATGGGGTGGACCTCCCTCTTTTGTTTTCTCTTGGAATTTTTTGTGCATGTGAGCCAAGAGCCCGCCCCATATAGTCTTCTCACCTCTTTTCATTTGTTTTGCAGGTACTAAGTCCATGTGGAATGGTTCACAATTGATCCCATTCAACTTGGAGTCCAAAATATCTACCAATACTTCCAAAAATGGGAAGATGGGTCCTATTGTTTTATCTTTTGTCAAAGATGCCTTTTTGTACTCATCCTAATTTATTTAGAACAAGTCAACTTCCTTCATCACATTATTGATCTCCTAATATGTGTAGGTTCATCTCAATAATTTACTTGGTGGGTATCATAGAAGAAAATCTTACTCCCATTATTTAGCTCAATAATGTCAAAGATGGTATCATAGGCATTTGTATTCATCTCAAATCATCCTATCACTTATTTTGACATTTGTCATCCATATTATTGGGCTACAAGCCGTGTGGGTCGCCCCCGAGTGGGCCTACGACGCCATTCTCGAATACTTGCTATTTCAGCGGGTTGAGCCCAAAATAATATCTGGGCCGCCCGCCCCTCCTCAACTTGTCTCGAAACGTTATGTATCACTATTTAGATAATGCCAGGCTCTTTTATTTATTAAAAAGGCCCGATACTAATATACGAGTTCGAACAGTATAATAATCAATCGTTAATTACTTAAAACCACAATCGTTTCACAATTGTTTGGGAATCAGAAATTCTATACATAAACTTTGATTTTTTTTTTTTTTTTTTTTTTTTTTTTTTTTAAATTTGAATTTTCAAGGACGTTCGGGTGCGGTGTCACAAGTTCACCCCCCCTTAACAGGAATTTCGTCCCCGAAATTCACAGCTCTACTCGAATAGGAAAGCATACTGCTTCCTCATCAAAGGCTCTGTTTCCCATGTCTCTTCTTCAACCCGATCACTCTTCCAAAGGACCTTAACCATTGGAACTTCTTTACTCCTCAGTTTCTTCACCTTTCTATCGGTGACCTTGATCGGTTGCACAGCGTAGTTCAAACCCTCACGTACCTCCACAGGCGGCTTCTCCAATGCGTGAGAGGGATCATGCACATACTTCTTAAGCATGGATACATGGAACACATTATGTATCTTCTCTAATTCAGGAGTGTATGTCGGTGAATGAGCCTCCTCCAGTATTGATTCTCGAAGCTCATCATTCGATGGTACACCCACTCGGCCACGGAGTGACAAGAGACCCTCGTCTCTCTCACGGAAATTCTCCACGGGTCACGCTAGCATGCGTTCTCGGACCCTTACGAGTGAGCTTCGTCAATGGCGATGTCAAAACTGGAAACTTCTCCACGAATTTTCTGTAGTAATTAGATTAATCAAAGTTTCAATTTCCAAGATCCTCCATCTAGGATGTTATTATTTTATAGCTAACTCATGTTCCTTCATGCTAGAGCTCGGCTCATAGTCATACTAATTTGTGCTAGAGCTCGGCTCATAGTCACACTACATTTTGCTAGAGCTCGGCTCATAGTCATACTACCACGTGCTAGAGCTCGGCTCATAGTCATACTACCACGTGCTAGAGCTCGGCTCGTAGTCACGTCATCTAATCCCTGAACAACTCCTTAGTCTAGGTTCCATCCATTTTGAGTAACCCTTAAGGCCTACTCCTAATGTAACTTGAGTTCGTAGGGTATCACCTTTCTTTTTCATAAAGGGACTGGTGCTTCCCGCGGTGAATAGTTCGGTCTAATGGACCCATTATCCAATAGTTCGTGCAATTGGCTCTTCAATTCATTAAAATCAGCAGGTGCCCTTCGGTATGGCGGTATAGAGATTTGTTCGGTACCGGGCTCGACCTCGATCACGAATTCAATCTCCCTATCAGGTGGAAGCCCCAACAGGTCTTTAGGGAAAACATCCGGGTACTTACAACTACCCTCACATCAGCGATGTTCATTTCCTCTTTGGTTTTGTCAACCATGTATACCAGACACGCGTGACATCCCTTTCACATCATACTCCTTGCTCCCACGGCGGATATGATACAACTGTTTGATTTGCCTCAATTCCCCTCGAAGCGTAGGTTGTTTCCATCATTGCCTTCGAGTTCTACAGCCTTTGTGTAGCAATTTACCCTAGCATGATGCTTTTCTAGCCAATCCATTCCTAGTATTGCATCGAATCCCATCATACTCAGCGGTACGAAATCACACGTCAGGGTTTGGCCATCAATTCCCACCTCACAAGGTGGATAGTAACTAGTTCTTTCAACGTCATCCCCTAGTGATGTTGATACCACTAAAGTTTGTGTCATTGGTATTGATTGTAACTCTAAGTCCTCGGCGAACGTCCACTCACGAACGAACGTTGCGCGCAGGTATCGATAAGGATCCTTGCATCCTTTCCATTAATCTTTATCGTTCTAACATTTATAAACCATGTAAGATGCCCCCCTAATATACCAACCATTCTTATGAAGAACATGGTTCGAAATTATGTCCTTAGAGTGGACATATTGCTCAATTATGGATGACGTTCGTAGTTGAGATATAAATCGGCACTGTCTCACCGTTTTGATCATATCTCCTCACATACTTAACCAAATGATTCGATTCAAATTCCATCATTTAGATAATGAAAAGATCTACAACTTTCATGAAGACAACTTTTTCATTTGACGAACACATCGAGGTGTACCCGGTCGGGTAACATAACCATACCCGGTCGGGTATGGGTTCCAGTGGGTATTTTCCCACTCTACCCGGTCGGGTTTATCACCATACCCGGTCGGGTATGGGTTCCAGTGGGTATTTTCCCACTTTACCCGGTCGGGTTTATCACCATACCCGGTCGGGTATGGGTTCCAGTGGGTATTTTCCCACTCTACCCGGTCGGGTTTATCGCCATACCCGGTCGGGTGGTAGCATGGTTTTGCCCTCTTTTCCCGAATTCGACCCTACGCCTGATCCCACTTGGATCCTAGGATTTATAACTTCAATTTATGGATGGGGAATGGGTAAATCACGGGAAGTTAAGCGGTCGTACCTGCAACCGAATCCGGGTTAGCTCGGGCATCTGCCTCCATCATTGCATAGACTCTTGCTTGAGTCCTTCCTTGATTCACCGATGGTGCGTTGCTCGCGCTTGCTCCCCCATGTTCCCTAGATGATAGGGAACCCCCGGCTTGGTTTCTTGTTTCCGTAGCCCCACTATTTGGTCCCGATGACCTTGCCCCACCCAACTGTGGGCAGTTCATCTTTAAGTGCCCGGTGTTCCCGCATTGGAAGCATCTAGGAGGGTCACGACATTTGCCAAAGTGGCTCCTTTTGCAATTATTGCATCGAGCTACCCCTGAGGTCCGTGATCCTTGCCCGTTCGGGCCTTGACTTCCCCTAGATGGCAGTGGGGGTGTCCGAAAAGATCCCCCTCCCTCATGGTTCCCCTTTTTGCTAGGACCTTGAGGTCCATGGTTCTCCCACCTTCTCTTCTTCGCCTCTTCGGCGTTTTTCAACTTTCTCTCTTCCCATTCTTTCTCTCCTTTCAACCCTTGCTCGACCACTTGGCTAAAGGTCATATTAGGCAACTGTGTTGCCCTCTCACGCACCTCCAGGTCTAAGGCATCCCAGAAGTGATTTACCATCCGGTTCTCGTCACACACATACTCCGGTATGAACTCCGCGAGCTCCCTGAATTTGTGTTCAAGTTGCCTCACTGTCATTTTGCCCCCTTGGGTCAGGAGGGTATACTCTCTCCTCTTGGCGTTCACCTCAAAATCAGAATAATATTGGGCAAAGAACTCCTGTCGGAAATTCTCCCAAGTCACCGTGTTGCCATACTTTCCCTTGGCTCCGTCCCACCATGTGGATGCCATCCCTTCGAGCAACCTCACCGCCACCCTTAGCTTAAACTCGGGGGTGAGTTGCATATCAAGGGCTGCTTCGTTCAGCCTCTTGATCCATTCCGCGGCGACCGAGATGTCACCCGCTCCGTTGAAGGGTTTGCACCCCAAGTCTCGTGCCTCCTTGAGGTATTTGGAGATCCTTATGATCGGACCTCCATCACCCCGGCCCCCATGTGGTTCAATGTGGGCCCTAGAGTCGCCATGGCTTCTTCCTCTTGAAGCCCCACCCGAAGTTCGCCCTCCTCGGCGCCTTCGGCGTTCCCTCCTTCCCTCGCGCTCCCGCTGGTATTGCTGGAGCAGCGCCTCAATTCTGGCTAGGGAGTCATTCTCCCCTTCTTCATCACTTATATCATCGTCATCCCCTTCGTAAGGGGTCTCAACCGGCTCGGTCTCCGGTTGGTAAGTCGAGTCCTCATAGGACCAGTAGGTTTCACTTTCTGTGTCAACATGACCGTCACTCACGGTCTGTGATCGGCCTCCACGGCCAGCTCCTCTAGATGCCCTAGAGGTCCTTCGACTGCCCTGTCCAGTCTCCACTGGTACACGGCCCGTCGGGTTTCTCCTAGTAACCCTGCCACCACGGTCCATTTCTGAAAGAAATTTGGAAGGAGTCGTTAGACTCGTATCAATGTCGATTGACGGATAGGTACTTAAGACACATTTTGGCTCGAGTCACCGCCATACCAATTGCTAAGGGTACCATCTTAACAATTAGAGACCTTGCAACCCAAGTACCAAAAGCTCTCCAAGTACAAAACTTCTATGCTCATGGTTTTCAAAATATTTTCAAAAAGAGAATTTCGAGACTTCATTATGAAGTTTATGGACTAAGGCTCTGATACCAACTTAATTGTCACGCCCCGGACCTCCCCGGACACGTCAACAACCCGCCGTACAATACGAATAGTCAACCGCAGTCCAACACATTCATATTATACAAGGCGTCTTGAATATCATTCACACATATAACATCCATAAACAAACATAATAAGTAATTCATAACGCAGCGGAAAACATTGTTTAAAACAAAAGGGCCACACAGGGCTATTCATGAGCACGCAGGCTCTAAAGTAAAATATCCATGAGCATGTTTATTAATGTTCAAAACAGAATGGAGAAAGCACGAACCACGTCTTCTCTCCAAAGGATCACCCGAGCAACGGGCACAGGTAGCAAGCTCGAGCCTCAACCTGAAAAATGGTAGTGGGACGCCCCCGAAGGGGTCAGCACTCTATAGGGCTATAAAGTGCTGGTGTGGATGGCATCTAATAGATATACAACAAGTATTTCAATCACAAGACCCTCAAATAGGGTGGTAATACAATATAGTGGTAACCCTAAGTTACCCCGTTTTAAAAATATACTTACTTCAATAAAAGTCAAGTAGTCCGCCCGTGGGCCCATGTTCATTTAGAAAATCACCATTTCTCATTCCCCGTGACTATAAGCCACGACAATTCATAAGTTCATCACGTTACCATTGCATAGCAAGGGCTCGGCCCAACTACATTTCTATGCAATCCTTTATGTCAAGTACATCCTATCACATTTGCATAGCAAGGTCTCGGACCAACTACATTTCTATGCAAATCACAATCTACATGGCAAGGTCTCGGACCAACTACATTTCCATGCAAATCACAATTTCATCCTATCACATTTGCATAGCAAGGTCTCGGACCAACTACGTTTCTATGCAAATCACAATTTACATCCTATCACATTTGCATAGCAAGGTCTCGGACCAACTACATTTCTATGCAAATCACAATTTACATCCTATCACATTTGCATAGCAAGGTCTCGGACCAACTACGTTTCTATGCAAATCACAATTTACATCCTATCACATTTGCATAGCAAGGTCTCGGACCAACTACATTTCTATGCAAATCACAATTTACATCCTATCACATTTGCATAGCAAGGTCTCGGACCAACTACATTTCTATGCAAATCACAATTTACATGGCAAGGTCTCGGACCAACTACATTTCCATGCAAATCATAGAGTCCGGCTCTAATTCCTCATTATAGTCCAATTCCTAAGCAAACCTATGCCTAGAATTGGCATCTCAAATACTTCGTATCTACCTTGGTCATTCTTAATGACTGCCCATAACTTACCCTTAGCTTCATACTAAGTCATTTTATACACTTGAAGTACATTCAAGTGCATTTCATACAATCCAATACTTAGGATCAATTCTATCAACAACTTCAAATAATCACTAACTAGTATTTCAATACTATTAAGATTATTGTCATCATACAAATATCCTCATTTTGTAATTCTCCACATATTTATAAGTGTGTAGCCGCATCTTAAGTACTCAATTTCAATACATAAATATTCATTTATGTATCCACATAATTCATACATGAGTAAAATCCCCATTTCACAAAATAGTTCATTTATAACTCATTTAATCTCATATTATTCATACATCCTCAAATCATTTCCAATTTCATTCTTTGGGAACTATATCAATATTTAATCATAATAATCCATGAAAATTATGATTTAGGCATTTAGGTAATCTCATGCTTAACCTACAAGTTGTAAGCAATTAGATGTCGATCCTCACCTCAAATGAGCTTTAAAACTTTCCTTCTCGATCCAATGACCCAAGCTTCGGCCAAGGAAGATTGAGGACTGATTCCTTGCTTGGAATTGAGTGTTAAACAGCCTCTTCAAAGTGCTAGTTCAACTCCTAACTGAAGGCACAAAAACAGTCCCTAGAACGGGTGTTTCCCGACGAAATCGTTCCCTAACCTTTCAAGGTTTTGTCTAGATTAGTATCTAACTTTTACAACAATTAAAGTCACTTTATAATAACATTTTATACACTTCAATCAGTGTATAATAGTTCTTCAATCACTTATATGGTTTAGACAATAGAGAGGAAAGTTTTGGATTCAAACTTACTTTGAATACAAAAACGTATTCTGCGAGGTCGTGTTTTGCTCGGTCGATTTGGAAGTCTTCCACTACTCCGATTGATGCAAACCAGACCTTCACGGATTCCTCGTCTTGAGAGCTTTCTGTTGGTATCTCGCACGCCTTATTTGGATGAGTAAATCTCAAGTTATGGCTCAAACAGTCAGAGCTACGCACTGAAGAACGAACCTGCGGACTGCTCTCCTCCTTCTTTCTCTCTTGGGTTGTGTGGACTCCCTTGCTCTCTTATCTCTTTGGGGGTTCGAATGGGGTGTAGGGGGAGTGTATTAGGAGACCCTAAACATGCTAAAAGAGTATGTGGCTCACAAAAGAACATGGGAGGTATTTGGTTTGCAATCAAATATGGGGTGGACCTCCCTCTTTTGTTTTCTCTTGGAATTTTTTGTGCATGTGAGCCAAGAGCCCGCCCCATATAGTCTTCTCACCTCTTTTCATTTGTTTTGCAGGTACTAAGTCCATGTGGAATGGTTCACAATTGATCCCATTCAACTTGGAGTCCAAAATATCTACCAATACTTCCAAAAATGGGAAGATGGGTCCTATTGTTTTATCTTTTGTCAAAGATGCCTTTTTGTACTCATCCTAATTTATTTAGAACAAGTCAACTTCCTTCATCACATTATTGATCTCCTAATATGTGTAGGTTCATCTCAATAATTTACTTGGTGGGTATCATAGAAGAAAATCTTACTCCCATTATTTAGCTCAATAATGTCAAAGATGGTATCATAGGCATTTGTATTCATCTCAAATCATCCTATCACTTATTTTGACATTTGTCATCCATATTATTGGGCTACAAGCCGTGTGGGTCGCCCCCGAGTGGGCCTACGACGCCATTCTCGAATACTTGCTATTTCAGCGGGTTGAGCCCAAAATAATATCTGGGCCGCCCGCCCCTCCTCAACTTGTCTCGAAACGTTATGTATCACTATTTAGATAATGCCAGGCTCTTTTATTTATTAAAAAGGCCCGATACTAATATACGAGTTCGAACAGTATAATAATCAATCGTTAATTACTTAAAACCACAATCGTTTCACAATTGTTTGGGAATCAGAAATTCTATACATAAACTTTGATTTTTTTTTTTTTTTTTTTTTTTTTTTTAAATTTGAATTTTCAAGGACGTTCGGGTGCGGTGTCACACACACACACACAAAAAAAAAAAAGAGGGAAGCCGACGGACCGCGCACTCGCCGGCCTCGAGCATAAAACAAAATCCCCACAAAAAACCAAGCCTCAAATCGGCTAAACACATCAGGTTTTCACCATACAGGAAGCCGAAGTACATGCTTCGGCCTCAACCACAGCTTCACAAGAGGAAATCGCTTCGGCTTCGGCTATACGAAACCACATTCTATTGCCTGGACGAAGCGGCCAACGTATGATGTTCGGTCGCATCGTCTTAAGTGGCAAAACCCAAGCGATGAACCGAAGCCTTCCCCTCATCAAGGCACCTTCTACTTTCTAAGTCAAGTTACTGCAAAGACGAAGCGCTACCAGGTAGAAACCCGACACTTGGAGATTTCGGAAGAATTCGTTCAAAACAAACAGAATTCACCAAGAAAAGATGAGGCACATCGTCCCAAAGGACAGCGATAGTAGGAGTTCGCCACGTCTCAATTGAAAGACGCCAACGCCCTCAAAACAGAGTCTTGATACTTAGGGAAATTTACAAGATAAAACGTGCATGACTATAAAGACGACGAGAGAAGCATGAAGGAAAAGTATCATTAATGATAAAATGAGATACAAAGGAGGGCACTACGGCCAGTACATGCACTTTGGTGCTAGAGTTGCAAAATCAAATACAAAGCTAAATACAAACTACGATGCATCATCGGCCTGCTCCTTGCTCTGACCGGCGTCCTCCCCATCACCACTATGGGTTTCGGCTTCATCATCTCCGTCGGCCTTGGAATCAGCAGGTCCTTCGAGCAGATAGTCATCGTTGTCGCTCCACGACTCTTCCCCCTCGTCAGAACTGAGGATGGGAGGCTGCCTCTCCGACGGGGGGAGCTTCATATCCTCATCTGGATTCTTCATTCGCCGAGGGAGACTCAAACCTCTCGGCCTCATCTTCCGGAAGCGACGGCGAAGCTTCCTATAAATTAGCCTCTGCATCCTGTACTGGCCACAATCATAATAAGCCTTCATCTCGCCCATCCAGAAATCTTGGCCGGAGGGATCTTTCGTCGTCCAATCTTCGAGCCTCTCAGCAACCACCTTATAGCAGAAGGGAAGCTGGTCCTCGGCTCTCCATCCCTCGGCCGTAAAATCGGCAATGGCTTTCTCAGAAGCCTTCTCGGCCTCAGCTTTAAGCCTCTCAGCCTCTTCGGCTCTCTTCACAACCACATCGACGGCCTCATCAGCCCTCTTCTGGGCCGCCTCGGCCTCGTCAAACCGGATCTGGAGAAGTTTAATCTCGTCCTCCGCCGCCTTGGCCTTGTCTCTTAAATCTTGAAGGGCCTCATCGGCCGAAGCAGCCTTGGCCTCCATCTTCTTCAGCCGTTCTATCTCGGCTTCCTGCCTCCAGTGCTGCTCCCTCAGCATAAGGGCACCCTGGACAAAGCGGAACAAAGTTAAAGATAAATAAAAAAAAAAAAACAAGTCACATGTACGGAGAAGCATGTTACCTGGACGACAAAGTCCAATCCGCCGTCGTACAGACGAACATGCTTGCCTTGCCGGCCGAGGTACTGCCGGTCATACTCAGGCATGGCCTGAGCGAGCAAGTCGTCACCACCAACGGTCTCATTAAAAAGACCACCCTTCACGGGGTATCGTACGGTGACTTCGTACGACCCCTTGGCTAGAGCCTCTTCCAGGCGAGCACTGGCAGCCGTAGCAGGGGCCACCCGAGAGGCCGAAGCAACCACGGCCGAAGAAGAACCCTTGGCCAGATCAGTCAAAGGAGGGGCCTCGGTCAGCTGGACGTCCACAGCAGCTTGGGTAGAGGGGGCGCCGGCCTCTTCGTTCACAGGAGCCCGTCTCGGCTTCTTCGAAGCTTGGCTAGGCTTAAGCCCCGCTTCGGCCAAAGTCTTTTGGCCCTCATCAGCAGCCCTCTTACTCTTCTTAGCCGCAGGCTTCTTGACGGCCTCGCCCCCTCCTTGAGAGCCGCCAGCAGACTTCTTCGCTGCCTCAGCAGCTTGAGCGGCCCTCAGATCCGCGTCGGCTTTCTTCGCAGCTCGGGCCATGAAGGACATACGATCCATCTCAAAGCCTGCACAAACAAGAGAAAAAACTCAAAAGGTCAGGAAAGAAAAAACAAAGCACTATGAAAAGGTGAAGAAGGCGAAGGACAACCTTCGGCCTCGGCAGGGACACCAAGTGAGGGACCATCGGCCTGTTCATAAGACCCCTCCATCTTCGGCCAGAAGCCATCGTCCACATCACCAAGGCAGTAATATCTCACGAAGCCGAGGGCAGCCATCCTGTACTCCGTAACGTACGTCTTGATACTTCTCGGCCCCCTTGTGATGAAAGCCTCTACTTGATTGCTTATTTCGGCACCCCATGGGGGGGAATGCAACTGGAACATGCCACTATGGCCATTGGAAGGAAAGAACCCGCCTCGGCCCAGAGTCACAAACACGAACTTGGCCTTCCAGCCATGTATGGACGTAGGGAGATCTTTAAACGACCTCCTCCCGCTAACCTGCTGCAAGGTTGCATAACCAGCACAGTTCTGGTGGCTCCCTCGGCCAATCCGGAAGAGATTCATGAAGAGGGCAGTCGTCGGCGTGAACCCCAACTCGTTGCACCGAATTAAGAAACCAATAATGAGGGAAAAGCTATTGGGAGTCAGCAAGGCCGGTGGGAGCTCAACCATATCCAAATACTCCTTGATGAACGGATGCAGAGGAAACCTCAGGCCCTTGGCGAAGCTCATCGGATAGACCCCGAAGTAGCCGGGAGGCGGGTTCAAAACGTGATCCGATGGCAGGGGGGCTCTAACACGGCCGTAGGGACCAACGTACAGCTGTGCAACATGGTACTCGCCGAGGGACCCCTCCGGCCGAATAATGTATAAATTGCTAAGATCCAACTGTGAAAACCCCTGCGGCACCCCCTCACGTCTTTTCCGCCGATACGCTTTCCTCGTCCCATGAGCCGAGGGGCCTTCCCCCGCTACGGACGATATCGACGGAGGGTAGGGAATGTTGGCTGAAGACGATGCCTCATCCCCTCTCAGGGGCGAGCTAGATATCGCCTCGTCTTCACCAGAATGATGCGCTCCCGCATCGGCACTCATTCTCTCCTCGTCCACAGAGGTGCGATAGTCCGCTGTATTCTCCATTTCGATCTCGAAGGCCTCAATCAACTGCAGATCAACTCCAGGGGACGTATCGTCCTCGTCAAAGGGCCAATCCGACTCGTCCAAAGAAACTGTCAAATCAATGGGGGAGGGAGCGCTACGACCGTTAGAAAACGGCATAACACCTACACCTATTCCTAAGGGCGGTTTTTCGGATCAAAAGTGGCTTCCCTACAAACACTAGATCTAACCCCCTAGGAAGCAAAGTATAAAGGAAAAAAAGAAGAACAGGTAAGAATCTGACCTTTAACGATTTGAAGATCTGAAGGAAGGATTGATGAACACTTGAAGAAACCTCGGGAGCTTTCTCTCTCTAGAAATTTCAGCAGCAGTTCGACTCAAGCAAATGCAAAATGAGGGGAAGGCTTCGGAGAAAAGGGGTATTTATAGGCACCCCTCCAACGGTCACTACACGTGGCAATCTCCAATTGGGCACCTCAACGGCGCCTCTCCTAAAGCCAATCAGCGCTTGTCTTTTCACATTCCATTCTAAAGCCACCACTACGGCCCAACAGGCCCCGAAACTAGGGGTAGGCACCGGCCTACTCGCTCAAACGCAATAAGAAACTCGCTACGGCCCAATTTACCAAGGAAATGGCCGCATCAGCAAACACGCTACGGCCCCAAATCAACCCCAAGAAACACAAGTACCGCTACGGCTACTCACACGCACATCGTTTGATGATGACCCTGGTATTGCGGCCTTCGTCCAAGGGTTCTCCCACAGGGTTACCTTGGACAGGTTCGCCTAAGGGTTGGACTCACGACTAACGCATGGGTACCGTATCGGCTCGAGAACATCATGACTCCCTTGTGCCTCAAGTACTCTTCGGCAAAAGGAGTGGGGGACTGGGGGACTGTATCGGCTACAAAAGGGGAAACAACATAAATGGAAACGCAAC